AGCACGCAGAAGGAAACTTCAGGCTCGGAGTCAAACCCCACAAGAGTCCGATCGTCGGGCGTCCCATCGTCAACATGTCATGCACTTGGGTGGCTCCGGCTTGCCTGTTTCTTCGCAGCATGTTACGACCTATTCAAGATGAGCTGCAACACGCGGCTAGCAGCAGTGTGGATTTCCATGGATTTCCTATCTGACCACCTTCCCAAGTCTGTGCCACCAAATTACAGTCTGGTAACTTCTGATGTCAAGAACCTCGACCCAAGCATCCACAACGAGCACCTGATGGAGGCACTGATCAGAGCATGTTATCGACAATACGGTCATGCTGCTATTGCTGGTTTCGTTGTTCAGTTGCCGAACGTGATCCTTCGAAACCAGTTCATACAACTGGAGGTGAGTTCTTTCAAGCTTTCGGTGTAGGGATTACCCCAGGGCATATTCTTAGCCAGAAGCTACATCAACAAAGTGGATATCCTGGCCATACAAACTCATGCAGACACTGTTGCGTCCTACGCCAGGCTTGTGGATGACTCCGTCGTTTGTGCAGCTGACATCGACACCGTCAGAAGTACCCAGAACTGACGGAGACACGAACTCATTTGGGAAGTTGCGTCACAGGGTGCCCGTGCATCTTTCTATGAGCACCCTGTCGCGCGCTTGGTCTCATGACGCTGGCAAGCTGACTTGGAAAACTTTCAGGAAGCCCTTGAACAAATATCTGTACATGCACCGCGACAGTTGTCATCCCATGCATATTCTACGGGAAACAGTACGGCTTTGGAGAACCCAACAAGATACAACTGGCTTGCACCACCATCTCCAGATCTTCGTTGACAGTATGGCTCGCCGTAGTCATCCTCGTCGCGAAACATTGAACTTGATTCAAAAACAGCTCACCAAAATGAAGTTTGGTTCAACTCTCAAACACCAACATCATGATCCCAACAAGAATGTCTTTGCTTTGCTGCGATACAGTCGCTCAGTTCCCATCCGTTCTCTTCAACGATGTTTCCGCAAGCATGCACCCATTTTCAATCACGTGCTCAAGTACGACATTACAGCTGGTAGTGTTTTCAAGATTTAACACAAATAGGTTTCGAATTCATGTTCTTGACAATCATCAGCATTGAATGCCGTCTACGGTAGCTTTGATCTTTCCATCACTGGCATTGGGTGGGAGGGTGGGCCAGTGTTTTTAATTAAAAGCGGACACGAGCTGCCACGAGGAACTTGTCCTTGTTTCTTCTGCAGTTTAGGCCTCAGGGAGCTAGTTGAACAAGTCCACGAGGGACGAAACCGGTACATGAGCGCTGCCTGAGAAAATCTGCATGCAGTGACCTCTTGAATGTGACTGCCCATCTCATTGAAGGGGTGCTAGGTTCTGCGCGATCACGAGAAGCGCACCAATCCCAATCCCCCAACAAACCCCGATCCTCCACTGCACGCCCTCAGCCTCAAGACTTAACCCTTTGAAAGCCTAAAGGTGACCAGAACAGTTCAATAAATCTTTGGGGCTATATATTCGACGATATAGAAACCGTGTGCGTGGGGGAACGCAGTAAACCTTTGACCCGGACCGTCCACCCCAATCTCCGAGAGTTAAGCCTGAATCTTTCAAACCTTAAGCCCGAAGAACACTGGGAAAGATAACTACTCCCGGAGATTTCAGCCAATCATACTCCGATCGGGATGCTGTCAGCTCCAGGAACTCGCTAGTTTCGCCACCGGAGCGCCGCCGAGTCTTCGTTGCCGGCACTTTCCTGGCTTACGGTTTCCGTGCTTGGGCGGCTTCTGTAGGGTTAGATGAGCTTTCGGGCGAAGCGTTTTGGCACGCGTTTACTGCTGTCGCCATGAATCTCTCAGGCTGAAATGTCGAGGCTGTCTAAGTATCTTTCAATCGGCACCAGGGGGAGGCTCACTTCCAACACGACTAAGCAAACTCCGACGGACACGGGAAAACTCCAAGCTCACAGTTTGGAGCAAAGGATTCAAAGGACCAGACCTACAGGATCGTCAGGTGTGTACGAACAGCGTGACGTAGACGTTCCACTCCAAACCTTAATCTCATTAATTTACTTCGGGTCTTCAAACCGAACTCAGCCGTTTACCCCGGAAAATGCTTAAACACTCAAGTCCCCAATCACATCACTAAAGTTGAGACATTCTTCCTTGGCAAGGTCAGGA